TAAGCAAGGGGAAGGTGGAGCTCTTAATCTGCCATAACTATGAAAGGGGTGTACTGATCATATGCTACTAACTGCATCTTTTGTAAACTGTTCAACACCCCTTGCAAGTTTGCCAAGCCCACTCTGCAATTGGTTGCCAGGGGCTGCAGATGTTGGAAAAGAGGAATTTCAATGAAAGGCCCTGATTCAGCAACCTAAGTAGTCTGCCTCTCACAGCCAAAGTAATCAGATTGGCAGCTGAATCAAAGCCTACAGTGGGCCCTTTGTTTGGGGAGCTCTAGAGGTTAGTAATTGACAGAAGGTCAACAAAGTTTTACGAAGAAAAGAACAGAATATTAGAGGGTATTAAACTGAAGAGTTTGTTCATTTGGGAATTTTATATTATTGAAGGAAAGTTAGAACCCAAGTCAAAGGTTAACGTAGTGAGAGGCAAAGGTTATGTATTATGGTTTAAATCAAGAAAACAATTTCAGTGCCAGAATTAGCATGTATTTACAAGTGGGGAATTGGATAGAATTCAAATACAAAGCACGAACAACTGCATTTTGGAAATATTATTCTTTAATGGTAAACAAATTATATTCAAGCACTGTGCATGTGATATGGCTTATGCTTTTATTTTTTATTTTTGAATGTGTGTATGTGGGGGGGTGTTTGTGTGTTTGGTATTTTTATGTCTGGCTGATAATTAAATTCATGTTTACTTATGCGCTTCTCCATAAAAAGTAATCTGTAGGAATTTCTAAATTGTATAACCCCTCAAGTTATACCCATTTACACACTGTTTTTTATGTTTTACCTTAAAAGTGCATTTTGGTAGGAATAAAATTAACAAAAGAAGGAATGCTAGGCTCAGTTCAGAAGGTAGAGAGTTATAGCCAAATTGAGCAGCAGGTGTGATTTTTTACATTGATGTTTTTCTTAAAATCTATAGTGCTAGGTCTATCCTTGCAAAGTATTGTACATTCTCAGAAACAGAGGGTGTTGTCCTAACAATCTGCTTCCTTTTATTTTAATTTATAGAAGTAAAAAGCAAATATCATTTTTTATAAACTACACAATCCGAATATAGTATACAAATTGTTATGGAGCTAAGAAATTTCTTATCCATGCAACCAATACATATGCTGCTCACTATTAACCAAACTTCTAGAACACAATAATGAAACTCATTCCTGTTTCAAATTTTATCAGTACATTTTTAATTGCTTAGCACCAAAAGGTCAGGAATTCGTTTTTACACACCTCCACAGGTGACTGTCTCCATCTCTACATTCTTTAACCAGTCCAGAAAGAGAGATTGTAACTAGTGGTGCTGTCTTCCAGATAAAGCATTAAAATCAAAAATATGCCATATATCAGACTCTTTCCTCCATTCTTGATTTCTTGAGGATCTGTTTTTTTGGCCTGAACCTTTAAATCATCCTTCTTGGTCTAGTCAACATTTTCAAAGGAGACTATTAACATGCTGGATGCAAAGTGCTACACAGTAGCTAGGGTGGTTTGTATGACATCAGTTAACTGTGTATTTACATACCAGCATGTTGGTCTGCTAACTTTTAAGCAGTGTGACTTGACAGTATCACAGCTAGGATTCAGCCATAAGCATTTCTCTCCAAGTAAGGTATCCAGTAATAGCTGTTTGCATACACTGATTTTTATCATCCACTTTGGTTAGTTTTTGTTTGTTCATTTCCTGTAATGCTGTTTGCTTACTTTCAAGCCTGTTCCTTGCTAGTGGAAGAATTTAAGTCTTTCTTCCATAGTTGAGCAACAATGTGAGGGCTATAAAACACATGAAAAAGCATTTAAACGTTTGAAATCTCATGTTCTTTTCTTATCATATTTGAAATTAATGTATTAATATGCAAGTAGGACTTACCTACCAGTAAAAACTCCGAAAAAATCCTGTGGGTTTGTATCTATATCACCACCAATTAAGATATGAGGCACTGTGGTACTTTTTGCATGTTCTTTTCCCAGTTGAAAAGCAGGAATGTTTGAAGCAGGTCCATTAATGCATAGTGTTTCAAATTCTGTATGCAATGTGAGGGACAACTTGGTCCACCAAGTGTTTAAAATCGAGAATACTGTCATTTACCAGGTTCTCAAACATTAAGGAAGATGGCCACAATGAGGTTATTGCGCCACTACTGCCACAGCCACAATATTATTGCTACTTTTCTTATTTGGTGTTGCCATTTGTTCACTTAGTAGAAAATATGCTGTACACGCTGCAAGGCACCAATGAAGGCTTTGTTTGGACAAGAGAATTTACCATGTAAAGTGCAATGGAGAGTTTATAATTCTAGTTGACCAAATTGTTCAATCCAGGTGTAAATGACAGTGAAGAATGCTTGGGAAGTAATGGGGAAAACTAGAGAGATGGGGAAGGAAAGGCAAATGGGACATCCCATCTAGGGGCATTTTTACATGTGCTCCAGATGCAGTGCCAGGTGGTTTAATTAGTGAGCCACACTAATTAAAAGTGCCCACACCTCACATGTATCAGTGTCCCCATGCATCCCCCTGTTGAAAAAATGGTGGCGGGGCACTTTGAACTAAAGCGCATCGAATACGTTTTATTTCAAGACGCCCTGCCACCCTTTTTTCAGCGTGGGGATACCCGGAGATGCTGATACATGTGATGCGAAAGGCTGCCGAGCGCGTCAATTTCTGTGCTCTGGGAGGTTCGATTGAGTCTGTTCTGACGTGCTCGATTTCCCATGCATCGGAGCAGGTTCCCCACACATCTGTAGGAGCCTTAGGATGTTGACAGAGTAGAAGGAAGAAAGGATGCCATTTTACAGACAGGTCCTGAGCTGTACCAGGGGTAGTTCTGTAGTGTCTTGAGAGCAACTATCAAAGTGTAAACTTGATGTAGTGATTACAGGGGAACTGGCAAATGGCTCCACTGCCATTGTAAACAGAGGACTGAAGGGGTGGAGACAGCAGGTACCCACTTTGTCTCAGCTTTATGTTTCCAGTCATAGCTAGAAAAGGATGTATTAAATGTAGAAATAAAAAGTTATGAAGAACTGGAAGAACCAGTGTGTGTGGATGCTCTTTTTCTGAGCAGTATCAGTACTTTGAATCTATGATTCTGTTATTTGTATGGCTTAATATCTAGGTAAGAGAGCTGTGAGCAAATATTTATTCATAGCTGTAATCCAGACTCATGTACAGCATAAAATCTTTGCAATATTTCATGTTAAGCATGGCTCTGTGTTGCTTCAATCTTAGTTCAGAAACTTTGGGGTTAAAATTAAGAGTTTATAACAAAGATGGTTTAAAAGAGGAATCTTAAAGATTAAAGTATTTAAAAGATAAATGTCTCTTTCATTAAAGCAACAGTTAAAATGGCAGATCTGTTTTGGACTTATACTTTACAGTATACACAGAGGATTTTCAATTTTAACATTGCTTAGTCATGGAGACTTTACTTGTAGATACTGTCTGTGGTTTGTAATTATCCTCTGATAAGGCACATCTGGGGATAAGTGTTTTTGCCAGACGTAAACGTACAAAGCACAAAGAAGAATTACACAAAACTATTATTAAAACATTTTAAAATCAGCAGATGCTTTTGTCTCTTTCTATGCTGATTTGAGAAACTAAAAATAAAAAAAACAAACCCAAACAAACCCAAAAACAGCTAGGGAGGTGGGTCCTGGGAGTAGGGAGTAGAGACTGCTGTGCCTATTTCTTTCTAGGTTTTTCATGTTTGTTCTTGTTAAGAATCCTACTAAACTGCTAGAAGAATCTGAAAAGTAGGAAAAAAAATTGAACATACAATAATAAAACACAGAAGGGATGTAAATCATAAGCCCCAGAAATTATGTAGAGGAGTGTGAGCATAGAGTGATTGTGTGTCCCTAAAAATTGGGCATAACTAACATTTTATCCTGTTCTTCTGTAAATTGCAGTGGGCTTTGATCATCTATACGAGTCACACATCACTGAGCAGGTTGGGTTTTGCATGTATGACTCGATGTCTACAAAAAAGTCACTTGTCTTACTCTGTTTTCCCCTCCAATGCCATTGTATTTTTCACAGTGGTATAAGTGATATATGTTAGGTGTCCCACACTGCACACCTGCTGGAAACTAGGCACCTATCGTTTTTACCACATAATACCCAGGTGAAGCCCAGCTGCCATGTGGTAAAAACTAGAAGTGACTCATCTCCACTAGGATTTTACTGCAGGAAAACTATTACGCTTTGATTATCTCAGGTAAAACAACAAAGAGAAAGCCTTTTTACTGTGGTGCAGACACGACCCATGAATCTGCTCCCTTGCCTGCACAGACAGTTGGGAGTTGCATCCAGTCAGAGAATTATTCTGATTCTGAACTGTGCTGCAAGTGGTGTGCCTTAGCAGCAATTTGCTTGCACTTAATGTACACAGTTAAAAGATAGAAGACATATCTTAGAGGCTGAGCAATTGGAACGAGTCGAGGAGGATTCAGGAGGTTGTATGTATTTCCCCTCTGTGCCCTCTATGAAGTCTTGGGGTTTTGTTCTGAAAGGGAGAGGAGAGGGAGACAGGGAATATTGAGAACCCTTTTCTTCTGCCCTTTCATTTCACCAGAACCCCAACATTTATGTCCTTTTACTACCTGCCAGAGCAAAGTCAAAACCATTTACCTGCAGCAAGTATCTTGGTTTTTCTCTGAAATTCTGGTTTCCCTAAATTTGTATCCTTTAGCCTGATATGTTAAATGCAACTTTTAGAGAGTTTTTGAATGTTATTATTCTTTGTTTGGCTAGAAATGGAATGCACTTTTTAATGTTGCCATTGTGTCACGCACAATGCTCTCCATAGACGTACATAGATATACAACAAATCAATTCTAAATCCTGTTGCCTTTGAAGTTGTTGAGAATTTTGCTTTTAACTTCAGTGGACCAGAATTTAGCCTGAAGTGAATTAAAATGCAACATTAATTCTATTCAAGAATCTGCATTATTTAAAATACTAATTATTTATTTTCCACCTAGGTGAAATGGAGATCCCAGATTCAAATGACCCTTTAGGTCAAGTGGATGGACATGACAGACCAATTCCAACACCTAAAGGTAAAAATAATGATGATACTAGTTCTTTTTTTTTTTTTTTTTTCAAGTATAAGGTAGCATGTACGCAACTGATTTTGTGACATACTTCCTTTATTTGCCTTGTGGAAAAGTCCGTATCCCAAATATGGTGTAGTAACTGGTATGACAATTACTGACCTGAAGCTGTCTGATCTCACCTGTGGTACCTATACATGTGCCAGATGTCTGCTCCAACATGTGCTAATTAGCACGTCAGAGTCAACTTGATTAACCAAGTCTGCTAGAGTGTGTTAATTAGTGCGCTCCAGCAGCCTCCGTGTCATGTCTAATCAGCATCCCTGTGCTTCAGAGTGGTGGTGGGGTGCTTGAACTAAAGCTCATCAAACGAGCTTTAGTTCAAGTACCCCCACCACCCTTTTGAAGCGCAGGACACTGAATACATGTGATGCTGCGGGCACTTCAATTAGAGTGGCTCTTGGAATCGCTCTAATTAAATTGCCCCCTCTATACCCCAGAGCATGTGTATAGATGCCCCTGGGTTCTAGTTAATCCACTGATGAATCTTGTTTTAAAATATTCCCTTAAAAACATGCTAGGTCATTTGATGGTTGAATCACAAAAGAATAGTGGCCACTGGTGTACATACAATAAAACCATACCATGATGTGTCTTAGCAGGCAGTACAAAAAGTTATGGAGTGAAGAGATATTATACTCCAGTTTGGAAACAATATCAAAAAATGGTTTTGTTTGTGTTATTGCAGTGTATTTTGATATTACTGCTGTTGAGTCTACCCACCAGTTCCCTTACCACATAATATATTTAAAGCAAGATCATGATGTGGGAAAGAAAACAAGTACCACAGGCTGTCACTATATACATAGATGCTATAAATGACAAGAAATAGCATTAGGACTATAATAATGGTCAAGATGTAGTATTATTAAGATGTGCTACTAATAATGTTATGAGGCATGGGTGTTAATGTAGGATTTAATTTTATACAGTGCAAGCATTGATATGTAGGTATAAAGGCATCATTATATGCTGGAGATTGACCTTTTTGACTCTTCCCTGTTTTTGAGTTTTAAATACAACCCAAAAAATACAAATATGATTAGGCTTTTTGAAAGTGGCTAGGACTGGGATGTACACTGGTGTTTTAGATACAGTTCTTTCTTGTTTAGCCTGTGATGGCAGTTTCTTGTGAATTCTTGCTAACCTATTTTGTATTGCTAATCATGTAGGGTAGGTTTCTGACGTTGCAGTTTACCTTAAAACTCATAAGGTCATATTATGTTTCTGGATTTATATGGTTCTTTTTGAAATCCCTTGTTGGATGCACACCTATCTGGCAAAGTATAGGTGTACTTAAGCAGTTTGACCTTCTTGCATGACTGCAGTTATATTGGTATAAATATGTTTCATACCCATGTAGCTAAGTACCAAGCAGAAAGGGAAAAAACTGTACACATTTATACTGATGTAAATAAGCCCAACTAGGTGTTGTACTGGTAAAAACGTATTAATTAAAATATATATATACCCAAGCTGCCTTGGTTATTCTGGTACAAAAATGTATAGACTTGGCCTTCCTTAGTGACTTGGTTACTGATATATCCATTTCTTTAACTGATAGATTGGTACTAATAGATCTGTAAGATGCACACAGTGCCAAAAAGCCTCTTTCCCAGATGATACCCAGGAAATTATATCTTATTTTGTCTCCTTCATCTTCAGTTTATTTTATTGAATAGAAATATTGCAGCTTTTGACTTCACACTCATCTCTGCTTTCAAGTAAAGGAAGGGCAGGGTGGCACCTCAGGCTCAGTACAGACATTATACTTAACAAATGTGAAGAGTGCAGAAAATACTTTAAAGCCATAATAGAACATGGCACTTAAAGCAGTTCAGAAGTGGTAAATCCAGCTCTAAGTTAACCCTTGAGGGATGTGATATTAGACTAAAGCACTTTACTTTAGAGTGTTTTATCAAATGTCTGTACCACAACCATCATGAGCATCCCAGGGGCTTCTCACTGGGTAGCCTGGTAGCCTTGACCAAGTAGACAAGCACCCAGCATGTCACAGAGAAGTGACAGAAAAGGTTTTGTCTCCTCCCTGCATGACTGAGTGGGGTGGAGAAGGCGAGAGAAACAGAGCCTGCTCTGCCTCAAGAGCCACCCCCCCATAGCTTGCTGGCTGGAGTTGGGTGAGTGGGGGAGGAAGTGGGCTTAGTCTGTGCAGTAGTGGAGCTCCTTTTCCCTCTGGCCACAATTCCCAATGTGGCAAAAAGCCTGGCTGGCTGCTCCGTGCTGCAGCTTCTGGCTACCATTGTCAGGAGGCTTGGGTTCAAGGGGAAGTGTTGGAGAAGGGAGCCCCCCTACCACAGGGACCCCCATACAGTTTGGGTCTGGGTGGCAGGGGGGCTGCCATGGCTAGTTAATCTTTAGGGCTTGCAGAAGCAACACAGGTCTCATCAAAAGAACATGTATTTTGTGTGCTGATATGACCTACTTCCTATGTCACAGAAGATATATTTTGGTGACAGATACTCAGCAATGACAGAACATGTCTGGTGTGGCAGATCCTTAAAGTGCTGGCCTCACCTGTTGTTTTAGGAGCAGCCTGTCAGAGAAAGTGAAGGAACTTCTTAACACATCAGATGTACCTGCTGCTATCATAGGAACCCATTTCATACAGTCACTTCTGTCAAGCTCCCTGCAAAATTAGTTAGATTTCCTTCCCATCCTATTCCTGTTAGAAGGCTGTTGCAGAGCTGCAATCCTCTCATGTTTAGAAAACTTCTACTTCTCAGTCTGAAGACATTTAAATACCACATGCACTCCAGACAGCTACATGTCATGCTACAACTAGGCTATCTATCCCACACTCAAGTACCCTTTACATTTGATGGTAAAAGGTCCTTCATTTAATCTTTAAAGTGTTAGACAAGTTTGTTTACTTGGCAAGTTAGCCCCATTTTGCTGCTTTCTTCTGTCTGGACTTTTATGGGCAAAGACATGAAAGAAAGTTCATTTTCTTTTAAAATGATATTGTTTAGTTAAAATATTGCACAGAGGGGGCTGCAGTTATTTCCACTCAGGAGCACATAACCACAACCAATACCAGGCTAAGGAAGTAATTAATCAAGTCTCAAACTGTATGAGTAATTTGTATTTCCTTCAGGGAAAAACGTGTCTGGTGTTCTTATTTAATTTATCTGTAGGAATGGTGCTCATTAGTTTTCACTTTTAATCCTTTACTATGCTCGTTCTTGTCAAGAAACAGTTACATTCTAGACTATTTTGTAACTAGAAAATTGTCAGTGTAAACTAGAAAGTCTTTTGTTTATGGGGTTTTTTTTGGTTTGTTTGTTTTTTACATCATCGTGGTGTCAAGCCTCATCTTTAATCATCTTAACATAGTAAGTCAAGTTTGTTTTTTCAAATGCTTGTGTAGTGTCATCAGTCATTTCTGTGACTCCTGGTTCTGGGCCAGGGCTTTAAAATACCCTGTATCCTGACTCATGATATTCAGACCTTGTTATCCTGGGAGTTCCATCCTACAGGATGGAAATGGTGAGGAATTCTCTGACTTCTTTCTCTCAGTGAATATTAGTTAGTCAAAATCTGAATATCCCATGAAAACTGTTCAGTTGCAAACAAAATTCATTGGAATGTAGGCAGGAATCACAGATGCATATTTTCAACACAAAGGTGAAGGCTAAGTACAGCCATTCAAAAACCCCAAGCATGAATTGATTCAATCTTTGCAGGTAAATTTAGCCTGCATAGATTGAACTGATTTGCAAGTGAATAGACATTCACTTTTGATTTTGAAAATACAGCCATGTGCCTGCAGTGGCTCTGGCCAGAAGCCAGAGGGTGCTAGAGCGAGCCCTCCCTTTCCTTCTGCAGTGGTGGGGCTGGAGGGAACCTAGGATGGGAGTGGGGGCATGGCCAGGCCCTGGCAGGCCTGCGTATGATTGGGGAAGTGTTTAAACCCCCACCCTGGCCTACAGGGACCCTAGCCTGGGGTATGCATGGAGGGGGAGAGGGGAAGCAGCCCTTTCCAGGCTTTTGGGTGGTGGGGGGAAAGAGGGAGCATGGCCAGACACCAGCTCCTGGCCGGATGCCAGTCCAGCATGGCCTTCTGTGGTGAAGAGGCCAGGGAGGGGATTTATTCCCCTCTTAGTCCCCTGTCCCACCGGGGGTCCACAGCCAAGGTCTGCCAGCCCTGGCTGCCGCTTCTGCTGCTCACCCCTGTCCAGGCAGACCCCAGCTGGGATCCCAGGGGAGAGGGGAGGGAGGGGAGAATAAACTTCCTCCCTGCCCCTTTGCCAAGGGACCATGCTGACCAGCATCTAGCCATGTCAAAGCCCCTACTGCTGGAGCAGTGAGGGGGAAGGACTCTGACAGGGGCAGCAGCCCCTGTCGTGGTGTCCCAGGTAGCTCAGGCCTATTTCCGGTGGGGGGGCTCTTCTGCAGATGGGAGTGAGGCAGGCAGAGCTGCCACAGCCTATGCAGGGTGCAGTCAGGTGCCAGCTGACATGGCCCTCTGAGGCAAAGGGGGTAGAGAGGGGTTTTATTCCCCCCTCCCTCCACTCTCCCTCTGGGGAGCACCAGCTGGGGTCTGTCTGGCTGGGGGCAAGCAGTGGAAGCAGTAGTCAGGGCTGGTAAGCCCGGGCTGTGGTCCCCCAGTGGGAGAGGGGATGGAGGGGGAAATAAACCCTCTCCCTGCCCCCCTCACCTCAGGTGGCTATGTCGGGTGAGCATCTGGCCACGCCCCCACCCCTGCAGTGGTGAAGGGGGCAGGGAACTGACAGGAGCTTCTGCACCCCCACCAGGCTGTGGGCCTGGCTGCGGTCTTGAGGGGTGAGGAGAGGGTAGGGAGAATAAATTGCCTCCCTGCCCCCTTCACCTCTGGGGGCCATTCTGGGCTGGCATCTGGCCACCCTGCCCCCGCTACTGTGCCTAGAGAGCAGAGGGGTGGGGCCAGCCCTGCTCTCTGGAGTGGA